TATTTGAAAGAACAAGCATAGGTTTTCCAACTTCACAACTTCAGGTACTCTTCCTGGGCAGCTGTCACCATCCTCTGTAATGACGTCCCTCTGTACTGCTACTTCAATCCACACCAGACCCCACTAGTACATGAGGGGTTGCTGGACGTTCAGCTTTAACTCAGCATGAGAATAAATTCTAGTAGATGTCAGCCTGTGGGACATCTCCCAAGCTGCTTATTCTCTGCTTGTCTCCTTTGGAATTTCATCATATGTCCTGGTGTTCATTCTGACCTGTCATGGTTGTCCTTGAAGGAGCTGCAGTCTGCCATGAGACCTCCTGTCTGCCTCCTCTTCTTTGAGCCAAACAGACCACGGGACCTCAGCCACACCTCACACATCTCTCCCATAGATCCTTTGCCATCTTTGTAAGCTCACTCTAAATGCTCTCTAATTGCTTCATGTTCTTCATGTATGTGGTGATGTTCTGACAAGGGTTCAATTGGGTATGAGTCTCAGAGAGAGAGCAGAGTGTTGCTGGTTCATGGAAACGTGTCTGTACAATATCTGGGGGAAAAAGTAATGGCTGTTTCTGGCTGAGAATGTCCCACGGACAACAAACCCTGAGCAGACTCTTGATGAGACAGATAGAAGACCAGGAACTGTAACTCTCTTTCCCTAGATGAGCAAGGTAGATCCAGCCACTCCTGCAGATAATACCATCGGGTGCCTCTACAGACTGGATTCACCATCCAAGATCTGAAGACCTAAGTATTTCTGTGGCTGAACTCAAACCCATGGCCACACTGTGCACTGCAGGCCCAAAGCAAACACAGGTCAATGAAACACTGTTAAAATATTGCAGAATTGTTTTTGAGTTATAAAGCCCTGCCGTGCCAGCAGTGAGCGCTCACTCCATCTATCAGCTAACATGGAGATACTAGTGCTGTGCAGTGAGTGGATATTGCTCCATGGCCGGCCAGACTTTGTCTGAAATACCTGGTTTTAACTTTGGTCTAAGATTCAACAAGATGCGAGAGGTAGTCATTTATAAAATGCATTTTTCTTTACGCATTGCCTGGGTGGATTTGAGCATGCTCTATGCCTAAGTGTCTAGAGAAGTGTGTGGCCCCACACCAAGCCCCGACTGATCTCAAAGGTATCCACAGGTAATGATTTCTGTTAGTAGAGTTTCCATCTCATGTCCCAGAACGGCCTTCAGTGGTTTCAGGTCGCTCACGTCATGGTTTCCACTATTGACTGCTGTCAAAACCTCTGCTCCAAGAGAATTTCCTTCCACAGAGGGGTCTCACAGAGGTCTCTGATAGCCTTTGGCTAAAAATCTCTTCTTCCTGTCAGCTCTTTGCAAACCACCAGTGACCCTGACTTGTCAAATTCTTCCTGAGGCTAGTTAACAAATTCAATCCTAACAAACCTCTGAGACCTAGCTTCAGCTGAACTTATTGATGAAAGTAGAAAGGAAAGGAATATTTCCAATCTAAGCCCCTGCAAACAACAAATGGCATAAAAAAAACACAAAACACAGCCACCCTGTTTTAGGTGCTCACGTTTAACTTGAATCTTGCTTCAAGTTAAAAAAGAAAATAAGTACAAGGCCAAAAATGGGTGGCTTTGTTTTGCTTCAATTTGGCAACCTAAGTTTGCTGGAAGAGGGCTAGAGGGATTCGGCTTGTGTGCTTCACCTGTGATTGCAGGTCTACTGGATGCCTGATTTCCTGGGTCTTGCATCATGTCCCACGTTTAATAAATCACCTTGGAAAAGGGCTGCCAGGTGAAAAGACCTAGTGGGCAATGAGATGCTCAGTATGGCTCTGGCCTATGCTGTAGCTAATGTCCTTTGGGAAGGCAAATTCCACCCCTTCATGTTTCCCTAGATCATTCTGCAGTCATCAACACCCAGATGAGGACATCTGAAGCACGGACCTCGTGTGCTTGTGCCTATGTGAGGAGAGCTGGAAGAGCCATCTCAAAGAATAAAGATATATTTCTTCTTTTAACTGAGGGTTTAGAGGCAAATAGATGACCTTTGAAGAAACAATGAAAGCATTTTTTCTTGGAGTCATGTGGAATATGTAGTGGTACTTATCCAGTTATAACAAAATAGATGGCTTCTCTGCTCATGGGGGAGGCATCTTATAATTCATTCATGTTGCATTGCCTGTTCCCATTTGCACTCTTTTGTTTCCAAAGGCAGACATTCAGGAAGTTGTTCTGTATATACTACTGCTAGGCTGAGTGTTTATTTGCACAGGAATATTTATTTCATTTACTGCAGAGGTAAACTGGTTGGAATGACTGCTCTAACTATAGAAGAGGTTTAGTTTTTTGGCTATTCTTTTTTTATAGGCACATTTAATTCATATTAGATCGCTGGCACTTTTGGGAACAACTGAAATTTGGAATTGTGGCTGCTGATAGCTTCAGTCAGTGATTTGATTGTCTACTGCTCCCATCTAGAAGACATTTGATATTTATCTTGCCTGTTTTTAAGAGTTGTTAGTACTGGCTATAGTTACTCAAATCTTTTGGTTAGCCGGGGACAGAACCACCCTGTTTATTCTCTATTCCTTATGGATGTCTTCAACCTTAGAAATAGCTTTGCTAATTGATTTCAGGATGGATTTGCTTGTGGCTGAGAAGTTAATGTTTGTAATGGCTCTTTCATGACAAATTCTTTCCAGTAGCCATATTGTACTTGGACTCGACTCTTTTTTTAAAAAAAGAAAATAAATAGTATGCTTGACATAATTAACCACAGTTGAGTTTTCTGAAACATTATTTCAGCTGAATTTATTACAGAATTTTTCTAACTGCTGCTTCATTTCAACTCTTCCTCTGAAGCTAGGTTGTCTACAAGGCAAATTAAACTGTAGAGCAGATGAAGAGACCATCTGACTTTGTTTTTCTACAGAATTTGGAACCTTGTGTCCATACAAGACTGTTTTTATGTTTTCTTTTCTGTTTTAATGGCACTGGCATTCTTTCTTTGTGTGGCATAAAGGATGGATTGCTAACCTGTTCTCCTGTGGTTCTCTGCTTTCTTCACTGTCTACTGATACTTTTCTGGTAGTTTCTTTGTTCCCTATTGCTTTTTTTCCCCTCAGTTACCATACACGAATAAGTAGCTGCATGGGCAGCCTACAGAAGTCCTTTAATCATGTCTGAGATTGTAGAACCATCTGCAGCAGCCCTCTGTGGTATTTTGAAGGCTTTATTTCTTGTGTTCAATGCCTGGATAATGTTTCTGCAAACAAACTTTCTCCTAAATCAATGGTTCCCCTTCACCTGCGTGATGAAGAGAAGTAACCTATGCCTTCCTCTTGTCTGAGCTGAGTATTTTTCAGGAGGTTCCTGGGATTTCCATGGGAGCCTTTGGTTGCTGTAAAGCATTTACTTTTCTGCCTATTGTAGTTGAACGTTGGTCAGATCTTCCTTTTGCTTGTAGAGGTAGGCAAGATATCAAGCTAAGGTCAGTCCCACACATCTAAACAAAAGTTTCATGACTGAATGTACTGAATAGGCTGTTCAGATTCTTGCTCTTTTATTAATCTCTAAGAAAACTTATGGTATGCAGGAATTCCCACTCATTCCCTCAGTGCTTTCCTGGAGGACGTCTGTATGGCCAGACTCAGAGGTTATCCCGAGGTCTAAAATGGGATAGAGATGTAACCTAGGTATTCAAGTCTGAAGGGTGGAACAGACTGAAAAATTCACTGGAACTCTGCAAAGTCAATGTCAGGATTATCTTGTCTACTAAAATTTGGTCTTATCTGCATGTCTGGGGCTTTCCTCCCAGGTAGAATGTCGTATCTGTTGTAATCCAAACAGAATAATAGGAAGAAACTAAATTCCCTTTTTATGTTCAGATTTTCTAATTGCACCATTGTCTCCCACTCAATCCTGGATGGTTCTCCTAAGGATTGTTTACAGTGACTTCAGCTTCTGGTGCTGCAAATCTGGTGTTTATAAAGACAGAAATTCTCTTGGGTAGGACTGATCTTTTTTAAGAAAAGTTCAAAAACAGCACTACAGCTTGCTTCCATCCCTTTGCTCAGACAGACTCAAATGAACGTGCAAAACAACCCCACATCAAGATGCAAAAAGGACAGCATCTAATCTAAACAGTGACTGATACTCCTTTGAACTTTGACCTTAAATCTTCAGGATCCTTTGTGCCTACAATTTTTAAACTGATCACAGGAAATGAATTTAGAATGTGGAAGCCTTTCTGCTAGGCTTGCTTTGTAGTGGCTTTTGGAAATGTTCCCAAAGACAGCTCTCCTGTGGGCAATTGGACCCTCCCTGTTAAAAGGACTTGGAGGAAGCTTAAAATAGCAGTGTTTCACTTGTACCTTATGCCTGTTAGAAACCACCACACTGGGTGACACAGCAGCAAAGCCACCCTCTATTTCCCATGACGATGACGATGGTGTTTCACAAGATTTCTCTTGGACAGCTCCTGAAAACATGGAGAAGACCCCAGTCCAGTCCAGCCCCCAGCAGACAAGGGCAGTATTTGACTTGCTTATTGCTTGTGGCTTATTTCAAAGGAAGCGTTTCCCTGGGAAAGGGAGTTAAAGAACTGCAGTAATTGCTACCAACAGTAAATGTTTATCTCATTCTTTATGTAAAATGTTTTCCACTGGATGCATGCCACGATTCAGACCTGCAATCCTGCAGTCAGCAGGAGGCAGGTCTTCTGTTTCTAAGACAGAAGATGATGCAAAGAAAAGAAAAATGTTTTGATCATGTCTAGCTAGTCATTTCTGCAGTATGATTAAAGCACGTATATTCATACTTTCATTGTCTTGACACTTAATGGGGAATCAGGAGATGGCGCAAAAAAATAGTATGCATTCTGTAAAAATATTTACCTGTGTGTGCTGTAACTGTTAAGACACAGAAAGAAGGCAAGACACTGATGGGACACAGGAAAGGAAGAGATCAGTCTGTTTATTCTATTTTCAAATATATATGTTCTTAATTTAAAGTGCAGCACTTAATGTACTTCTTACATTATTTATTATTATTAGATACCAGCTCCCTCTCGGCATATTTATTTTGTTAAATTACACATCTAAAATTAAATACAGCTCCTTGTCAGTGTTTATGTTCTTCTGCCTATTCCTATAATTATTGTTGATAAGAGGTGGCTTTCAAGTTAACAACATGTGGATTGATAAGACAGCCATTATTATGTTACCTGAGTGCTTTTTGGAAAGCTTGCCTCAAGGGCAAATTGTATTTTATCCAGAAAGGGCAGTGCTGAATCCCTGGCTTACAGGCTGCTGCTGAAGGTTATATTTGCTGCATCCAACCAACTGCTCAGGAACTGCTAACTCCTGGGCATTTGAAATCAGTGATTGCGACTGTTTTTGGGGGTGCACAAAGGAGTGCCACCTGTGCTTATTCCTGAGTCGCCAGAAGGTTCCTGCTCCTTTCGCTTCTGCTCTTCTCTTCTGCTTTCTGATGCTCTTCTCTTCATTCTCAGATAGTAGATCCTGTTTGCTTCCGGGTAGGTGACTTTGAAGAGGGGGATTTTGTAGATGTCCGGGTTGTCTGAGGTTAACAGCAAAAAGAGAAGCGCCGAGAAGCAAAAAGGCCATGTACAGAGTGGTAGTCCAAGCTGGGAGAGGAAGGTGGACAGATAGGTGTGTTTTGGAACCTCTTTTGCACCCAGCTCACATATAGACATTTCAACTGTCTAAGAAATGACCAAAATCCTACCCTCGTGGTCCTGTAAAACTTGTTCTGAGAATAGTGTTCACACACCTTCAGTCCTCAGTGCCCATGAATTACTGGCATTGCATCTGCCCAACAGTCCTGCTCTGGACCCAGAGTGCTCACCTGTCCTGCAGCATGCTGAAACCAAGTTTACAAGGAGAAGAACCAGTTGTCCTCTTCCCTAATCCATATCCAAAACAAAAGGTGTGCTTAAAGCAGCCTTTTGCATAGGCCTACATGGTATTAAGAGAATGCCACATGAGTATATTTAATGCATTTAAGCTGTTAGTTCTACTTTTTTTTTATTTTTTTTTTTTTTTTTTTTTTTTTAATCATTGTAAGTTACTAAATCAATTTTATTAAAATGTGGGTTTGCTTTATTCTCTCAGATCTTGAAGAAACAAAGCCTGGCACTTCTAGCTTCTTTTCTTTCTTGAATTGCCCAGATACAATGATTCTGTATTTAAGACAGCAATGGCCTTTTTCTTTTCTTTTTTTTTTTTTTAATCTTAAATAATTATAGTTCTCATTTCCAGACCAAACTTGAGTCAAAAATTTGAGGGCAGAGTAGGAAAAGCAAAGAAAATTTTAGACCACTGGGATTCGTTTAAAAATGTTGGCCGCAGCTTAATATTGCATCTCAAACCATAAGCACTTGCACATCTATGTGCAAATTCCCATTCTGGATTATATGCTCCAGAGGTTTTTGAAGTCATATTGTCAACTGTGAAGTTTGCAGGTGCACAGTCCAGCTGATGCACCATCTATAAGAAATGCTGCTGGCTGCAGCACTCTCATTTTGGTACTGTCAGAAGATGGAGAATTTTGGAGCATTTCCTCAGCGTTGTATCATGAGAAAATCAGAACACAGCTAAAACAAACAAACAAAGCTCAGAAAATATTTAAACTTACCACAGATAGTGCATTAGTAAGAGCTGCTCCAGAGTAGGCACAAAACAATGCTGACAAAAGAAGACCAAAGAGTTCAGGATTGGCAAAGAATAGCTCAGCTTTCCAAGGAAATTATCAGAAATAATAAAAATATCCAAATGCACAGTAAATCATTTCATCTTATATGATTAATGTTAGAATTCAACTGTTGGTTAATATGCTCCAATATTGTGTCTGGCCGTGTGGTCTACAATTGATCTTATCTGCTCTGTAACGGTGGATGGTGAAAGAAAATGGTTTTGCCAAGAGCTGGTGACGGTGGTATTTCCTTATCCATTTAACAACTTGACCTGTGCGTTGTGGGGATCCCTGAGCAACTGAGAAGGGATGTTCAAATCAAACATGACAAATGGCTGGAGGCTGGGTTAACCTTCATTAGGAATTTCTACACTGTACACTGTTCTAGAACTTCCTGTATTATCTGTCTTTGGCTTTTGCTGGAGGTGGGTGTCTTTGGCTAAATGGATTTTAAACTGAACTTGTACAACAGCTCTCATCCTGTGAAGCAAATCCTCTGAGGATAATTACAATTTTGGAATGGCTTCTATGAATCTCCTGAGTGGATAATTTGCTAAGCTTCTGTTCATGGCATAGCTTGTCTTCTTACAAATACTCCTTCCACTGTTTCTAGATGTTTCTCTTTATCAGAAGACTTGTTATCTAGAAGCCTTCTGCCTTTGTGGTTTGCACCTCCAAGCTCAAAGCTGATGCCATGACAGAAGTAACTCCTGGAAAATCAGAATCCCAAAATTGATTCAGAGTTGTCCTGTACTGCTCATGTACTGCGTAGATGCAAAAATTTTTTGCTTCCCTTATCATATAAGATACATACCACAAGCAAGGGCCAGCAAATGAGTCTGCCAGGTCAGGGCATAGAACATGCCTCCAATTGCAATGCATGCGAGAGCGCAATTGTAATTGTGTAAGCCAAGGTAGATGCTGTCAAATGGTGCTGCAATACTCAGTGCTACAAGACAAAAAAACAGGGAGCTGAGGTCAGCTATGGGAAGTATTTGCAGGAAGTAAATCTTACCTGTTGGAAATTCAGTCTCTTCCCTATGATATCCAGCCAAATTTACAGTGTTCACACTTGCACAGCGTTCATTTGCAGAAAAAGGGTGAACTCCAAAGGAACTCATTTTTTTGGAGCTGTGATAGAACAGCAGTGGTTCAGTGTCAAATGCTTCTTCAGGTAAAATTTCCTACTTATGCCCCATATTTGCTCGAGCGAGTCCCTAGGATATCTGGATGGGAGATTCAGCCAGACTGCGTGAAGGCTTTCTCACTTGGGTTTCTTCCTTGCAGAAAGCTGTGGTCATGTGTGTTGTTTAAATCTCACATATTCTCATGTCCTGAGTATTGGAGGCACAGTTTTGGTAGGAGTAAGCATAATTTTCCATCTCTTCCTCATGGCTAAAATGCTAAAATTTGCCAAAACACTAAATGTGTTCTGCTCCCTCCATCACTGCTGTGGAAATCTTGCAATGGGATGGGAGCTGAGGTTTTGCAAAAAGCCTGACATCATAAGTACTTCTGCAGGACTTCTCATATGTATTGGGACTATCACTAAAAACAGCATCATCTTACGTATTGCACAAGCCACCTTATTCTTAAGGGCAATACTTTTCCTGCTGTAATGTCCTCAGCTGTCTCCTGTCCCTCATCACCTTGCTTATATTTCCACATGTTTTCTCCAGACACTTCTCTTCTAGTTAAATGTCAGACCTGCGTGAAACTTGTCAAATATTTTTAACCCTATAAATTATGGATAATTTTCTTTAAAACACAAACTCATGGCGGGTCACATCTTGTAAAAAGCACTTCAGAGCGCAAATCAGAACTTTGTGTTGGACGTATGAACCTTTGTCAGCCTTTGTAGTTGCCTCAGACTATGCTAATTCTACCATATTTTTCATTAAATTTGCTCACATAAATGGCACTGGTGTTGTTTGTATTCGGGGGTCACATTCATTTTTGTTAAATTAGGATTGTTTCTCTGGTTAGTGGAGTGAGGCTGTGCTCTCTGTTCATCCAGTGGCAGTGGGTTAAGCAAGATGGAACAAACTACCTGCCAGAGTTACAAATTTAGTTCCAAATTTAGAGCTTGTAGAAAACCTGCTTCTGTTCTTCCCTTCACCATGCTGAGTGACCTTTAAAATTAAGACCTTTAAAATTCAAAGACACCTTCAAAAACAGGAGGGCATTCCCTTAGCCCATGCAACTGTAAATCCTGGACAGAATCTCATATTGGCTTGGATCAGTGCATTTTCTTAATTGAGATAATGTTGGTGAATATTTCTTACCTGCAAGCATTCCAACTGTAGATCCAATTGCAGCATGTAAGCAAATAAGTGGGGAAGAGATGAATAAAGCAACAAGGAAGATGCCTCCAGTCCAGGGGTTTTCACAGCCGTACACTTGACCAACACCAACTGGGATGGACTGCAAGAGCTGCAATGGCCAGTAGAGAGGGGACATGTTATTGTAGCTCTGAGTGGAGGACACAACAGTTATTTTGTCCAAAGTATTGATTAGAAAGGAAAGGTGACAACCCTGGTTCTGAGAAGGTCTATTGAGTGAACACAGGTGCTTATGTCCTTCAGTCCAGAGTTAGCTTCTTGTTTGGTCTGAATTTCATCAGTCCAAGATGGGCTTTTATTTGTTCTGGGGTAATATGATCAGCTTGTGTTTGTTGTGGTTTTGTTGTAAATGACTTCATTGAAGGAGAAAAACTGTTACTCTCCTAAGCAGTAATCCCGTATTGGGGCTGATTTGAGTTTTTTTATATAAGATGAAGCATATCTGTTCCCCTTAACATTTCTTTGAGTGTGTGGATGTTACAAGACAATTTCCAGTGCTAAAGCTGGCCAGAGGAGAATGAGTGTAAATTAATTTCTGCCCCTGTGAGATCATGATGTTTCTTCCCTCTTTTCATGTTTTCACTGACAGTCCTGCTGACATCCTGTTGACCACATTTGGACAGTGAGTGTGCATATTTGGATATACTCGTGTGATAACAGCAGCTGTGGCATGTTTATGGGCAATCTAACTTTGGATGGAGTGAGAGGTTCAGGATCTCTGAGATCTGATCAGTTTCTCTGCTGGATTAGCCAGGACTGCCCCTGGAGCCTATGTGACACTCTCTTGTATGAAATGAACTAAGCCATTTATTTCTGCAAATGGATGCTGCTCAGAATGGGTGTATGAGAAATTGCTACCCAGAGATAAATGTCTTCATGCTCACATTTTCAATGAAACAACATAAACGTGTTGGGGTAAAGCTTACCAGAGGCACATTGATTGCAGACCAGGTGATATTGGGCACCGATGCTACAGGCTTGATGAGGGTTGTAGGAAAAAAAAGGTTGTAGTGTCCTGTGGCTGCCAAGTACAAAGTCACCGCAGTATTGAAGGGCAGAGTGAGTACAGGAAGGTCCCATCTACTGAAAATAGATCCCAAAGCACTGGACAGGACTGGACTAAGAATGAAAGGAAAAGAGAAACAAGTATAGCTTGTTCATCATATTTACAATAGTGATTCATCCTACCATTTTGGTCATAAGCTCTGGAAAGTGCAAGCCAGTGGTATTCCTTTGGAAACACTAGGCAGTGAATTCCTTCACATAGCAGATTGCATCTGTCCAATAGTTAGAGAATGCTGTCTGTCCTTTTACAGCAACTATCACACTCATTAGTGGATGTAAGCATATAGTTGAGGAGTCTTCTCACCACATAATTTCCTTTTTGGTCTTTTTTGGTTAAATGGGGCCCAGAAAATATGTGAATGAGAGTGAAGGTCATGTACTTGATGGAAATTGGCTGTATTTTGATGGTTTTATCTGAACTCTGATGATGCAACCGGGCTGAGCCACCCTTACAGTCGGAGTTGCAGTAGGCGTTGCGCAGCTTACAGAAATACAACTTAAAGACCTGAACTCTTCAAGAAGCTGGATTCAAGTCCCAGAAGAACATCAGACTGGTTCTAATCTAAAGCAAAACAAAATAAAACAGCAAAACAAACCGGAAAACAAAAGAAACCAATTATTTGGGATTTCAAAAGCAACTTATTGTGTCCTGTTGTGAAGATATTATCAATGGAAAAAAATGCTTTGTTCTCCTTTTGTTTTCTCAGATAAAGCCTATTCTTTTATGATGAATTTGGTTTCCAGAGCAGTTTAAAGGCTTCCTTGCTCATTGCTGTAGAAAATACCCACCACTTCAGTGAAAACAGTGTCCCAGTTTCTGTGTTGAAATACAAAGCTTCTGCCAGCTATACATCTTGTCAGGAAAAAAAGAAACAATTAAAGAAATTCTGACTTCTAAAGCTGAGATTCAAGCTACTGGTTGAAAAAGAGAATCTCTGAAAAGTCTAATTTTAAAACCTTTCAGCTCTCCCCTCGAGCCCTGTGAACTAGAAAAACAGGGAAATGTTTGAATAAAAAGCCTCAGGGAATTCTGGCAGACAAGACAGACTAAACATTCTTGCAACATGTTCTGGATTTTGAAAGAGTGTCTCAAAATGACCTTCGCCGACAGTGACTAGTGAAATAAAATATTGAAAAATCTGATTTAAAAAGCAGTGAAATGCAGTCATGATTTGTATCTTGTCACTGATGGTGATTAAAATCTGGCTTTTGAATTAATTTCTGTTGAGGCTGTTAAATAGATTCTGCAGTGCTGTTAAGGTCTGTATGTAGAAATGGTAAATATAGTCCTGAAAGGATGCTGTCTAGCTTTTGGAACTAGCTGTAGGGAAAAAATTTGATTCGTGACTGGTCGCACATCTGAGATGGGAAGGTGGAATTCAGCCTGAAGAAGGAGCTTCAGGTCAGTTCAGCACCTGGATAAGGGAGCATCATATGAGTGCTGGGCACAGTGACATCCACCCCAGTGCAATCTGATGTGGTCCATAAATGTGCACTGAAGTAGGGCTGCTTTGTCCTTCAGGTATGATTGATTTTGTTGGTTCATTTGACTTCCTGCCAATGTGTTTTATTCAATAAAGAGCTTTCTCCAATGCTACCTTGTCTGGAGCTACTGATGTAGGGCACTGTGCAGACAAGACTTGTAATGTGTACAATATTCACATAGCAGAATTCCTCATTCTTTGACAATTGTCTCTAAGAGAGACGTGACACTTACCAGGCCATGGATATAACTGCCACAGGGGTAAGAAGCCACCAGTAGTAATCTCCCTTATCCGAGTAGACAGCCATGAGCACTCCCACCAGGATCCCATTATAGCCGTGCAGCCCTGATGCAATGGCTGATCTGTGATACAAAGAAATGTTTGCGAAGCAGCAAGCTGTGCAGAAGGTGATCTGCCACAGAGACTTGCTGAAATGCAACTTGAAAATATCCTGCTCCTGGTGAACGGAGTGTAGAGGCAGGATGGAAAAAGCAGTGAGGTAGTTGCCAACTTTCATTGCAGAGGTCTGTGGAATGCATGATTTTTTAAACTATTATTAGAATCATAGAATCATAGAATGGCCTGGGTTGAAAAGGACCACAATGATCATCTAGTTTCAACTCCCCTGCTACGTGCAGGGTCACCAACCAGCAGACCAGGCTGCCCAGAGCCACATCCAGCCTGGCCTTGAATGCCTGCAGGGATGGGGCATCCACAGCCTCCTTGGGCAACCTGTTCCAGTGCCTCACCACACTCTGTGTGAAAAACTTCCTCTTAATACCTAATTAAACCTCCCTTGTCTCAGTTTAAATCCATTCTCCCTTGTCCTACCACCATCCACCCTCACAAACAGCTGTTCCCCCTCCTGTTTATATGCTCCCTTCAAGTACTGGAAGACTACAGTGAGGTGTCCATGGAGCTTTCTCTTCTCCAAGCTAAACAATCCCAGTTCCCTCAACCTTTCCTCATAGGAGAGGTGTTTCAGTCCTCTGGTAAAGAATGATGATCCAGAAAGCTCTGTGTGATCCAAATTGTATGGGTGTGGTGATAGCAAAACATAATGGCTATCAGGGAGAGAACAGGACTTGGGTTAGGTGACGTTATAATCACAATGGTGGCCAACTATCCACCTCCTGAACCACAGCTCTGTCCCTACCTGACTTTCTCCAAGTCAAGTGGGGAAAGTGGGTCTGCTGGCTCTAATAGGGTTGAAAACAGGACTACAACCTATCAGCATGCTCCTGATATCATAATGATCATCTCAAAGATCCCACATACCTCTCCTGACTGAGAGCCAGAGCAGTTAACGTTGATGTGACAGTTCCAACACAGCCCGTCAGCAGCCACCATGGCTTCTGGATGAAAAGCCCCACTAAAATGATGAGCCCGCTGAGAGGGTTGTTGACAAACATCACTTGAGAGGTGCCTCGCAAGATCCAGTCCACCAGCTGAAACATGAGGGGTTTATCTGACGGAGATAAAATAAAAATGTTAGTGATAAGGCACCATTTCACTGGGACTCCTTCAAAGCACACTCAGCTTGACAGTTGTTTTCTCGCCACAGAATAGAGGTGATGTATCAACAGGACTATAAAAACAGGCTCTGATTTATTGCTGTCTGAGCATATTTTTGCATCTGGCACTTGAAATAACAGGGACTGGGCGCTGCTATAGAGTCTGTGGAGGGATTAATAAAAAAATGGTTTATTTATGATGGTTAAAAAAAAAGTCTTTGCAGAAGATTCTGCTATAAATTTAACAAGGAGATAGACCCGTTTCTGTGCATAATTCAGATCCAGAGAGGGACAGAGGCAAAGACTGAATCTAGTTTTTGTTTGGATAGGGAAATATAAAAGAAACACTTGTGCTGTTTTATGGAGAAAGCTGGTGACCCAGAACATGGAAAAGTCAGGTGGTAAAATTCTGTTGAGACAGGGTGTGATGCAGGTCCCCATAGCAGAGGTGTCTCAGTGCTCAGTTATATGAGGTAGCAGGAATTTGCATGCTTGCTTGCATCATGGTGTAATGTTCAGACTCAGTACGTGGTGGACAGTCCTGTGTAATATCTTTATTGATGGTCTGGATGAGGGGATTGATTGCACTCTCAGTAAGCTTGCAAATGACACCAAGCTGAGAGGAAGTGCTGATCTGCCTGAGGGTAGGAAGGCTCTTTGGAGAGAACTGAATAGGCTGCATTGATGAGCTGAGACCATTTGTACGAACCAGATAAAGTGCCTGGTCCTGTACTCCAGTTAGGGCAAGCCCATGTGACACCATGGGCTTGGGGCAGAGTGGCTGGAAAGCTGTGTGGCTGAAAATGATCTGTAGATGTTAGTCGACAGATGTCTTAATACGAGCCAGCACTGTTCCCAGGTGGCCAAGAAGGTCAGTGGAATCCTGGCTTATAATAATATAGTCACCAGCATCAGGGAAATGATTGTATATCTGCACTTGGCACCAGAGGGGCTGAACCTCAACTGGTATGTTCATTTCTGGGCTCCTCACTACTAGTAAGACACTGAGCTGATGGAGCATGTTCAAGGAAAGTCAGTGAAGATGGAGAAATGTCTGGAACACAAGTCTTACAAAGAGTGGCTGAGAGAGCCGGAAATGTTTAGTCTGGAGAAGAGAAGGCTTAAGGAAGACCTCATCACTCTCAGATCCATTTTGCCATCCACCAGTACCCACAAATTCTTTTCAGCATGGCTGACCCCAATCCTCCAGCTTGTACTGATAGTGGAGGTTGCCGCAGCCCTGGTGCAAGAACTTCTGCTTGTCTTTGCTGAACATCATGAGGTTCTCCTGTGTTCACCCTCTACTCGAGTCTGTCTAGGTCTCTGGATGGCATCCAGTCCCCTCAGGCATGTCAACTGCATCACACAGCTCAGTGTCACCTGAAAACTTACATTCAGTCCCAATGTCAATGTCATTGACATAAAGATACTAAAGAGCACTGGGCCCAATCCTGACCCCTAGGGGACACAAGCCATCATCTGGCATTGAACCATTGACCAATACTCTGCAGGTAGTCCATCCATCAAATCCACGTCTTTCCAATTTGAAGAAAATGTTATAGGGGAACATGTCAAAAGCCTTGCTGAAGTCCAGGCAGATGACATCAGTGGCTCTTCCCTTGTCCATTGATGCAATTATGCCACCACAGAAGGCCACCACATTGCTCAGGCAGATATTGCCCCTGGTGAAGCCATTATGGTTATCCTGTATCACTTCCTTCCTTTCCATGTGCCTTAGCATAGCTTCCAGGAGGATTTGCTCATCAGTAGGTCCCTGGGTTCTCTTTTCTACCTTTCTTAAAAAAGGGCACAATATTACCTTTGGTTTTTTCCAGTCACCAGGGACTTCACTGGACTGTCATGAATTTTGAAATATCATTGAGAGTGACTTGGTGTCTGCACTGGCCAGTTCCCTCAGAACTCTGGGATATATCTTGTTAGGACCCATAGAGTTATAGTCAGGTTCCTCAAGTGGTTGTGAGCTTGAGATTTTCTTACAGCAGGAGGAACATTGCTCCCCCAGTTCCCACCTTCTAACCCATTCCACTTGAGGGGTTGAGGTTGTCTGAGGGCACCTCTGTGCAGTAGTCCATGTACAGAAGAGGGTTTTGCAGCACTGCAGTAGCTGTGTTCCCGACCCTTGTGCAAATTGGCTTGAGGACAAAGTGGAAATGGCACTGTAATACTGTGTGTTATTAAACACAGTGTAAGAACATGAAAAAGAAACTCTGCCCGCGCCTTTCGTTTTCTTAAATATTTTAAATTAATTCAGTTACTCAGTTCATACTGTTAATTAGACACAGAGTGAAGTGCCAGGCTGCTTCTTGAATCTGGGCAATGTCTTATTCGTAACAGCTTCCTACCACTCCCTTCTTTTCCACTTCCCTTCTCTGTTTATTTACAGTTGGGTCTTAAGTTCTGCTTTGTGATAGAGGTAGCTCAAAAAGAGGAACTCTCAAGGGACCGACACAACTCTGCATCTATCCAGCATCCCCGGGAGAGACATCCCAAAAGGCTGCAGGGTATCTTAAGGGGTGACTGCACATGCATTCCTTTAGAAGTATGTTGCTGTTGATCCAGGAGGGAGTGTCTTCTTTAGAGAAAAATGGTTGGACTAATTAGAGATAATTTTTACTAATGCTTGGTATTGAGCTATGAAGAATGTCAGCAATGCTTTTGGGTTTAGGCACTAGTTTTAACTATATTCAAATATTATGAACATGCAGGGGCAGGAAGATTTTCAGGACACCAAGTAATAAAAGCTGTCTATCAAGCTAGAGGTAGCAAGGAGTTAACAAAAAGCAAGAGGAGACATTCCTTTTTGCTAAGGAACCAATCTGGGTCCATGGGGAACAGATTGCCCAGTGAGCTGGTGGAGTCACTCTCCCCAGGTTTTGAAGAAGGGTGAATGCTGCACTGAATGAAATGGTCTTGAGTGTTCACAGGCATGGGTTGATGGTTGGGCTAGATGATCTCAGTGGTCTTTTCAACATCAGTGATTTATGATTCTATGAAACTGCCATTCTCCTGAGCTCCCTGAATGGAGGTAACTCAGCTCACCTCCTCTTACATCTCTCCCTTGGTTGGAGCCGTGCTGCTAACGAACCTTGCCCTGACAGAGGAGCCACAATTTTGCATAGCCTCTCAAAGCTCAAACCCCTTGATAATTCTGGGTAACACAGAACATCTGCTGATGTATTGTTCCTGCCTGGACAGTAAACCTTTGAGATCAGTACTTGCTTTGTACTTTATAGGAACATAACACTCATGGTGCTTATTACTCCCCAAAGGCTGGTAAATACAAAGCCTTTGCCTGTACAGTCAGAAGTCAAGTCCCCATTGCCAGCCCACACATGGACAGGGAGATGGCTACTGCTCCAAGGCACTTACAGACAAGTCCAAATCCTCATCTCTGACGTGTGATTCTGGGCATTGCTATGAGGAACATGATGTTAATGACATAACTGATTAAGTGTAAAAGACATCTTTTGCCCGTGCTGAATTATTCGTGCAGCCATGGTAATGGCAGTGAAGTTTCTTTCTTAAGAACAACACAATTTGGGCTAAAGCACCAGAAGTTCATACTGAGTTCAGGCCATGCCTTCTCTGCTATGTCTTAGAAGGTGAAGTGGTCTTGTGGACCAGGATGTATAGCTGGTGATGTATATGTTCCCAGCGTGCTCTTCCAGAGAGCCCCAGCATACCCCTGTGCTTACTTTTCATCCACTCTCCATATTCTTTCATTTCTCCTGTGAGATACTTGAAAACTTGGGGGATTTGTTTTCCACTTCTCCCCAGCACATCCTGGCTTCTTGGCTGCTTCTCTGCACATAGGTTCCTCTCAGCCGGACTTTCAGCCACAACAATTTCTCCAAGATCCATCTTTTTTGAGTAGTGAGAAGAGGAAACTGTAAATCACAAAATCCACGTGTTAGTAAACCTCTTGTTTTGTGCTCTGGCAACCTTCTGCTGTAGTTTAGAGACCCACAGTGACATCATTTTTTAAATAAGGAAGGTTTCGTGGATTAGACACCTGCCTGAGCCACTGCTGAGGACAGTACGAGCTGCCATGAGAGCAATGTAATCTTCCATCTAGAACTTGCTCTAGTTTTCTTCTTTTGGGGATGATGGCCATAAAATGATCTAATACTGATATGGAGTTGTGGCGCAGAGCTGCAGTGGGCAAACTGGACATGGTTTGTGTGCCTTGCAGGATCCTAGCCAGGGCTCCTCATTCCACATCTGCTTTTCATAGACCACCAAAAGCAAACTGAGGTAGCATCAAAGCCTTGCTCAGAAATTGGCGTCCAGATGTGGCTCTGAGTGAAGATGAGCCCCTTGGGCTGTGGGCTCTTTAATAAGCAGATGAATATCCAGGCAGGACTATTTGTTTATAAAACTCCAAAGTACTACAGCAGATCATTAAGAAGATCATTAAGACATAAACCCTTCAGAGAAAATACACTGCATTGCACCCCAGGGAGTTACACTGTAGATGACTTCTGCAAAGATTCTGACCAGTTTGCTCTGATCAATTTGGAGCAGTGTGTCTGGGTCTCTAGATGCTGACCAAGAGCAGATGATACTGCCAAGAGCTTGCCCCATGTTTTGTGGAATATGGGCCCCACCTTCTGGTGGAAGCCTGGGTTTTGGCAGTTGGCTGTCAGTGCACAGCCTGCACCAGAAGAGCAGAATGAGAAGGGATGCCTAGTTGAGAGCAAAGCTGTTGTGCCTGACAGGCTGATGGTAAAAATATCCACGGTTCTGGATGTTCTCAGAAGAGGATCCTTGACCACCAGAAGATGTTTTCTGTTCACCCCATGGAGTACAAATTTACATGCAGCTCTGGAAATACATCCTGCAGTTCTTGCTTCCTTGTGCTTTGGCTCTCTCTGCTGGCAGCACAGCTCTCTGCAGTGGCCTTTGAACACAAGCCTCAGCCTGGGGCTGTAGATTCAACATGTATATGTAAAAAACCAGCACTGTTTGCTTGATCCCATGGGTAAGGAGGATTATAAGAAGCACATGGAGCAACTTTTAGGATCTCCAAGTCACAAGATGCATCAGTAAAGCAAAGTTAGTGGCCCCTTAGCTATGAACAACATCCATAACCAACAACAAAGCGCAGCTGTAACCATCAGGGAGAATAAGTACTGAGAAGTCGTGTCTGCCTTCTCAGCACCTGAGTATCTCATGTTCATTTTGAACATCACCATCCGAAAAACAGTTGGCTTTTACAAAGGGGAAACATCACTGCAGAGCATATAAAGTCCAGATTTACAAGACTGCACTGCTCAATTCCCACTGAAATTGAGATGTGGGACCTGGATGTTTTTAAAAATTCTTTCCCTCTCTCACATAATTTAACTATTAGGGGTTAAGTGCAAAGCAGTCATGTGAGAGCCTTTTGCCATCAGTGCAGAGGAAAGCTAGTTCCTCAGGAGAGTGATTCATGTCACTTTTCTCATATGCCTATATTAGATGTGAATAAGGGGGTGCCTCTCTCTGGCAGGAGATTGCCAGAGGGAGATTGGCTGCTGAACCTCGAGGACTATTTTTAGGTGAGAGAAATTCCAGCCATGGAGATTTTTGCAAGGTCAACCATCATGTTTATGGAAGAGGGATCTGCAGTCCCAGGACAGTGCTTTAAATCACCAGGCCATCTGCAACATGCCTGCAATCTGCATCAAAGCTCAGGAGCTCGGAAACAGTTCTGGTCATGTGATTCTCATTTCTCTATATATCAGAGGGGAATTAAACTTCTATTTGCAAGGTAGCGTGCTCATCCACTTCACAGGGGAAGGCAGCCTGGGAGGAGATGGCTGAAATTCCCAAATTTTTTGGAAAAGGAACAGTGTTAAAAAGATAGGATGCTAAAATCATCTGCACTGCCACAGCAATGAGCTGTAGGGCTTTGCAGCAGTGCAGCCCAAAGGGATGGAGAAGGTCCTAGAGGGCTGTGATGGGCACAGTGATCCCTGCAGCAGACTTACCCTGGAAAAACATATTTGCATTGAGCACCTGTCAAGCAGCAGACATGTGCTTCCTGATACAGGCTCCAGGAATAATAGAGAAATCGTTTGAACAGTTAGCTAATTAGGGCTAACGAGAGCCTGAATCACTTATGGCACACCTACTGCTTATGGGGAATTCCTTGAGAAAAAGGCCTTTTGTCAGCAAACACTGATTCATCACTGTCCTTAAAAGACATCCCTCTTCTCAGGAGCATGTGTCAGGCGGTAAGGTTGTGCCTAGCAGTTGTGATTCATCTCTGGACCTACCTGTGTCTATTCATTCCCAAGCAGACTGCTGTTCTACCATGCTTTTGGGGTGCAGGACAATGATAGCATAGAGCTTTGCATTTTTAAGCTTCCTAGAGTAAACATGGGCTTTTCTACTGGAGAAAATATTCATGGTATTGCACCCTCACAAAGCCAGCAGATATTTAGTAGACCCGCAAACAAATAATAGTACAAGGTGGCTGTGAACAGTGGAAGGGTGCATGATCCAGGAGGGGTGAGTAACCCATATTATTTGAAACCTTCTTCTGATCAAGATGTACCTGGAGATTCAGCTGCACATCGTGTGCTCATTTCTGATTATTGCAGGGAGATGAGCATTACGCTAAGGCAACTGAGACCAAACCTGAGCAACTGGTCTTTCCTTCTTCACTGGTATGGTGAGCAGGTGCTGTAACCTCTCCCATTTGAATGAAAATCCTGGCTCTAAACAAGTACTGAGTTTGTGTGTCCACCATCAGGATGCAAATGTTTCGTTGTCATGCTTTCTAGCTTGGGTAGGTAGTCACCCAGGCTAGAAATGTCAATCCTTTCTGGCTTGAATCCCACGGTATCACCTGCCTCCAAGCTGTGCAAAATGAAAGGAAATCAGTAGGGGAGCTGGGAGGGCTGAGTGCATAGAGGTGACTATAGAAGTGTTGACTTCAAGGGACGTGGCCTCACAAGGATTTTTGAAAAGAAGCAGTTTGTAAAGGCGTGTTGCTCACAGCAGAAGCCATAAAGAAATGGAAAGGAAATAGACTGTACAGCTAGAGGGCAAAACTTTGGGATGGTGACAGAATGCTTGGCTGACTTGTAATGACTTTACTAAGCAAAGCTCTACCAGGGATCAGTCCGTGACACTGGAAATAAACGGAGAAAGCAGGGCATTTCAGAACAGCCATGAGGTTGAATGTAACACACTTGCAGAGAGCAGGTACAAAACACTGTGTTGGGTTTACATGGCAAGGTTTTGGTAGCAGGTATGTTGCAAAGCTGGCCTCTGTAAACAGAGCACAAAAGCTGCCCTTTTTCAGCTTGGAGGAGAGAGAGTGAGAGCAGTGCAGCGGAGTTTAGCTGCCCATCAGGGTGAAATTACCAGACAGTCAGACCAGGTAGGTAAGACAGGCACAGAAATCCTATGTTCTTATCCAAGACGCCTAAATAAAACAAATCAGCAGCAATGGTAATAATAATAATAATAATAATAATAAACAACAAACAGATCAACCCAAAATAGTAGGGTAATTTTTTTTCCTGTCACAGGCATTAAATAAAACCATGTTCCATAGCAGTTCTGTCATATCTGTACAAACACAACCATCATGAAAAAATTAGCAATCGGGATAGTTTTATGGGGTAAAATGACTCTTACATCTGTGGTTAGATGCTTTTATCTGAGGATGTGGTCTTGTAGATGTTCTGTATCTTTCTTTCCTGGTTCTGTATGGAATAAAATGCAATACTTTCCTTCTCTCCAAGGCAATCCTTTACTGCTTCCTCTTTTCCCTCTTTTGCTGTGGTGTCTCCTAATCTGCCAAACAAAAGGACGAAGTTTAGTCAATGGATTGTCCTAGCATACTGAGTAAGTAGTGCCCGTGGCACCATTTGTGCATGGTTTGTACGAAAACACACGTGTGCATGTGTAACTCTGGAAGATGGTCTGCCTTCCAGAGCTCCAAAATGATGCCAGTAGAGTGGAACTCCTCCTGACTCTCTTTAACCATGTAAAACCTTACTTTTTTTTTGCTTTTTCTACAGTCAATATGGAGAGGTGAATTCCCTTTCAGAGACACCTATCTCATCCCTTCACTGATACAGCGAGATTAAGGTGGGGCTTGTGTTGCTAACCATGGAGATTTCCAGCATAAGTCTCTACCTCAGCAGCTCAATTGGTCTCCCTTTAGCTAGTCAATATATGGATCTAGAGCATGATTCACACTCTCCTGTCCTGTACAGGTGAATCATATTGTAAACTCTGTAGCATTTGGGAAAGACAGACAGCTCAGGTGCAAACAGCTGCACTGCATATGTGGAGGGAGAGGGATGGTGAATCTCAGCAAAGCAACTATACCAATGTCACTTGGGAAATTTGAGATATCAAACAAGGATATGTTAAGATCTGAATCCAGTGTCTAGTGTATAAAGAATTTTCAAAACACAGCTTTTTTTTTTTTTTTTTTTTTTTCCCTAATAATAAAAGTAGTTAGACCAGGTAGATATTTTAAGACACAAAAATGCTGGTTTCTTGCATATGGTTTCAGTTATAAAACCAGAGGGGAAAACAAATAGAGAAAATATGAAATATAAACACCATCGCTTCTAAACAGAATGTTTTTCAAAGGTTTCCATGAGGTGTTGGCTGCTCTGCAAAGCAGACTGTAAAACAACTTTACAAGCCACATTTATTCTAAGAGCTCCACTTATTGAAGTACAATTCAAACTCTTGTTCTGCGGGCCAAGTCCCATAAATTAAACACTTGTCCAATAACACATACCTCTCCACTTGGATCCTCTGTTTCTTTTTGGCTTTGTGGGTCTATGTCTCTCCCTCCCTCTCTTTAAAAAAATCCTTTGCGAGTGGGAACAAAAAAGGGTCTGCTTGTTTCAGGACTGAATTTAAGAAACAGGCAAGGAAAATAAACATAAAGAGAGGAAAAACAAGCAGGTCAACTTTTAAATTTAGCTAACTGAGGCTTTCGGTCCATTATTTTACATCGTGATGACACTGATTTAAAGGTAGGGTGAAAACTGCAGCGTGAAGCTGCACAGTGTTAAATGCCTATGTGATGAGGCCACAGTGCACAAGGAGGTGGGTTTGGAGGGACCAGAAGAGGGACCTGGAGCTGGATGGCAGGTTGGATCTGTGCCCTGCCTTCAAACAGAACTCAATTTTGCTGTGATCAGCCTTCTTTCAAGGGATGATGGCCTTAGAAATGTGATCCTAAGCAGGGCCAGATTTTTCTTAGAAGGGAAGGGACAGCCCCATTGAGCTTTAGCTGGAAAACCGATCGGGATGGTCTGAGATGTTTTCCATCCTGTCTGACCTCGAGTAGGAATGGGTCCGTGCTCAGGAAAAGTCGTGCTGCTGGGCTCACTACAGCTTCCCATTCCCATCTTTTTGCCTTCTACTCTCTGTCATCACTCTAAATCCTGCAGATATTTTTTGTATGATGTCTTTCTTTCTAAGCCCTATTTTATTTTTCACCCAAGAAGCTAGAGATCTCATCTCATCTCCCTTTGTAGCATTTCTAGTTTAGCACATCTGTCTGTCTGGTCTTGACAGTCATTCCTGCCTTTTGTATCCCTATTTTAATAACTTTCTCTTTGATGTGGCCCACTGTATTTCTCCTTCTCATTGACTGAATGCTTTGCTCTCAGAAACAGTCATTGCTCTGTCTCACCAGTGGGGAAATGTTAATTTCTGCACCCAGCTGACCTGTAAAGCTTACTCAGTTTTGCCATAAATATTTTTAAAGGACCATAGAAATGTAGACTGATTGAGCTTGGAAGAGATCTTTGGAGGACATCTTATGAAAGCGCATTGCCCAAGCAGGGTCACCCAGTAGTCCCAGGATATGGCTGGACAAAACTTAGGTGTCTCAAGGGGTAATGCTTTTTTTTTCTGGCTGGGATGCTACAACCAATGAAAATGAAAGAAAGAGTGAGGAAGGAAATATGTTTTAAGGATATTTCAGCGTGGAAGAAACAGATTTAGTTTTGCCACTATGCCAGGTGGTCTTATGAAGTCTTTTTGTGCTGCAGTGAAGCTGGAGCAGTTTTGTGCTCTGTCCTGAATGCTGAGCTATGAGGACATTGCCCTGTATAATTGATGGTGGTTAAGAGTGATGATGACTCCTTAAGCTGTCACAGAATCATAGAATCATAGAACAGCTTGGGTTGGAAGGGACCTCAAGGATCATGAATCTTCAACCCTCTTGCTGCATGCAAGGCTGCCAACCTCCATATCTAATACTAAACCAGGCTGCCCATGGCCCCATCCAACCTGGCCTTGAACACCTCCAGGGATGGACGGGGCATCCACAGCCTCTCTGGGCAGCTGTTCCAGCACCTCACCACTCTCATAGCAAAGAACTTCCCCCAAACATCCAACCTCAATCTTCCCTCCCTCTACTTAAAATCATTTTCCCTTGTCCTGCTGTTATCTTGTAAAGAGTTGATTCCACTCCTGTTTATAGGCTCCTTTTAATTATTGAAAGGCTACAATGAGGTCACCCCACAGCTTTCTCTTCTCCAGGCTGATCTGCAGCAGCAGGACTGCCTGAGGTACAGATGGCTTTTGTGATATCTCTGTGCCTACTTATGTGACACTGTATGGTGAACCCTGGAACATCAATGGCATGCTGGAGTTGGAGGATCTAGGTCTTCACCACTGACCTATTGGGCCTAAGTGATCTTTCACCTGCCTGAAATTCAAAGTGCTCGTGCAGAATATATCTTTAAGAAGCTGTACATAAACTGACCAGAGGCGGCTAGTTGCTACACCTGTAAACATTTCTGCTGGCATCAGATCACCTGCACGAGTCAGTAGGAATGGCAAAAGAACTCTGCGAAATGTGCTGCTGTTTTTTTGGCAAGCATGAAAGGATCAGACTTCTCTCCAGCAAAACTTTGCCTGTAAATATTTTAACTGCAGAAACAATTGCATGGTTGCTGATATTGCTGGGCCAGTCCAGCTGAACACTGGACTGTCTTTAACAACGTGTGGTAAACCACAGTTTGTAATGTGCTCGCAATGAATAGAAGTGCCAGCACTTGGCCAACATTTGGTTAAAACTTGAAACAAAATATGCAGCATTTTAACAGGGTAACTGTAAAGACATTTCTCCATATACTTCACATCTCTTAGTGTTTAATAGAAAGTTAGCAGGGATTTTCTTTTTTAGATAGCAACAATTTATTGTGTGTTTCCCAGGTAACTACAACACTGCAAACCTTCCCTGAAAACTCCCCTGGGATTCCTGCAATGTTAGTGAGCATAATGAATGGTAAATGCAAAGCAAACCCATTGAATCGCTTTATTTTAAATTCTGGCAGAGACATAATTTCCCACAGTTCATAAACATTTACAAAAAAGGAGTTTACATGTAGAAAAACAGTTGTTTTTATCACTCAGATCAAAGAATACATTTATCAGGATGTATGGGTGCACTTTCAGCCAGCTTTTGAGGAGCTCAGGTGACAGTCTTTAAGAAGCTTCATAGTCTAATACCGAACCTTTGAAGTCTGCAGCTTTGCTCACCTGGAAATACAGACATCAATTCTGCTCTCTGTTTTGCATGAGTCTGAAGTTTACACTTCAAAGATCATAGATGACAGACCAAATTTCCCAGGTTGCTCACAGCACTGGAACTTATCAAATAGAATAAAATGGAAAAATAGGGCGCATTACAGGATAGAAGGCTTTGTACCCAATCCCACGCAGCCATCTTGCTGCTTGGGAGGCAGTTGGATGGCACTTGAGCCCTGGGAATGTGGACTTATACCTTTTGAAAGTTCAGCAGAAGGATTCCCTTAGTGTTAGTGATATTGCATCAGGCCCTGAGATGGAGGAAGCAGAAGAGCAAGGGCTGCAGATAACAGCAATGCAGCTGCCAAGGGTCCTGGCAGACCCTAGCACCACTCCATGGTCTGCCTTACATTGCAGCAACTCAAGACCAGGGTTTACTGGATGTTGTCTGGTTTTCATCTCGAGTTTTATTCCTCAGTAGTTAATAGAATCACTCTACTATAAGTGAGAGAAGGGTCACACCCATCAACCCCAGTGGAGCAGCTCTGTGTTTGTGTTGTTGTATACTGAGAGCAGATGGAGGCAAGTATGCGCTGCTGGATCAGTGCATGTCTGCACCTCTTTATGTTGTGACTGAATCTATACTCTGTATCTTTGTTATGAGGCATATCCACCTGGAGTCTCAATGTTTCAAGAAAGGCTGGCATTTTGGGAAGGGCTGAGGAATTTAAAATGGGGTGTCCAAACCCCTCCTTTTATAAAGCCCCTAACAAGAAGAATACAAGTTATGATTATTTCGTTTTCAAAATTTTTCATTTTGCTTTAATCCTCTAAAAAAATGTGATGCATCTGTAATATCAAGTTACAAATAAAATGAACTGTGGTTTCAAAATGGGGAAATGGTGCACTGCAGGCTGAATAGAGATTTTCTGAATAGAGCATTAGAGATTTTCAGGAGAGAATTTCTGTCTCCTGAGATTTCCACATTTCTGTGGAGTTCTTTGCTTTGTGGCCACATTTTTCTTTTTCCCTGTTTGGTTCTTTGTTACTCTGCTGAGAGAACTGCAATTTCGTATAACTGAGACATCAAATCACACCATCAGAAGATGTCTCTGGCGTATTTTGGTTGCCAATGTATTTGTGTTGAAGTAGGATGCTCCATTCACACACAGAGGATCTTGTAATGCTGAAAGCACATGAAACTTGATTAAACGATGTTTCTAATTAGAGGTGAGTATTATCTCTCAGAAA